TACAATTTCTCGGTCGGTTTTAGCTTCTACGCGCGCAGAATAGTTGGGCAAAACGCTGAAAAAATAATACCGTTTTATCGAAACAATACATGTTTGTTATCATACACGTATATACATATGTATGTATTTGAAACGAAATCAATAGGCGTATTTACGTGGGAACGGATATGATCGTATAGGTACGATGCAAGGCGATCCGAGTAATGACACAAGAATACCGTGAAACACTGGCATTATAGAAAGTAATAATGTACAAGAAAAAATAAGGTTAAAAATTAAAATTTACGAAATTAATGTACGTTTTGTAAATGTACGTTTTTCTCGGATTCGGTCTTTTTACCTTCCGACCAAACTCGATAATTGTTTCGGTAAAAAAAAGTTTAAATAGGTAGATAGAATTGAAAAGACGATGCAATCTGTCTATTTTTCTCCGTCCTCGGTCCAACGTAAGAGTCCAAGTCCTTTTACTTTGGCTAACTTTCCAAGAGTGTCCCCGCGTACGAATTCGTCCAACCGATCGACAACCGTGGTCCGTGGCCGTATAATACTCGAATAGACTAACACAGGTCTAATAGGATGGGTAAAGTAATATCGTGTCGACCAAAGTATGAAAAAAGCGTCGAGACAGGAATGAAAGTTAATCGATAGAGGGGAGGAGAAAAGTATATTTATCAGACTCGTATGTATGGTTGCGATAGTAGCATAAGAAGGCAGTTACCGAATAAACGACAAAGTAAGCGTAGAAATTGTTCGAGTATCGGTGAGGCGGCGTCCTTGACACGAGAATCGGCCGGTTGGACGGTTTCGATAAAAAGGTTACACCGCAGCTATCTCGCGCGTCCGTTCAGCCGCGATCCAATATCCCTTCCGTCTATAATTCATAAAGCGAAAGCCGATAATCTATTGTAAAACGATATCCAGCCGTTCGGACGTTGCTCTCCGACGAGCAACGACAATTTATGCGTCACGCAATCGCACCAGAGGTGTTTGGGTCAGGTTACGCGAACCCGTATTTCCTAATTATGTACGTAACGTGTTCTTTTTCCCCCAGAGACGCAACAACCTGCCCCCTTTGATCTCCGAATGGCCACGCGTAATTAAACGCGACAGGCTGACTAGTTTAAGCAATTGGCAATAATGATCGTCGAAGCGATCGAGCTGCCGAGCTGCCGAGCTGCCGAGCTGCCGAGCTGCCGAGCTGCCGAGCAAGCAAATTGTCGAGCAAGCAAATTGTCGAGCAAGCAAGTTGTCGAGTCTGTGGCGGTTGTAAAGATAACGAGAAATAGAAGAAAAGGATAGATAGACAGACAGTGTTGGGTGTTGAAGTTATTTAGAACAAGTTAATGGTCTTTGAAGGGTTCCGTTGGGAGCCGTAAGCAATCGCATCGATCACTCGAAGCATTTCCATGGGTAGAGGGCTATTTCGAAAATGAGTAGAATCAAGCCGGTAGAGAAACCGATCACCATCAGCAGAAAAGCCGGAACGAATTGCTGGAGATGAAGTTCGGAGTTGTATTGTTGATCGTTGGCGATCGCAAACATTCTGACACGCGTACCGTTCGCCAGAGCCAGTTTGGTCATGAAATCGAAAATACCGAAATCGATAAAATCGTGGATCTTGTCGTCGATGGTACGTAGGTAAGGGAAACCCGTCCACGTAGCTAGACCGAGCGGAAAGCTGCATATCACTTCGGTGGTGATCGTGTAAGCGTACGGCGTCTCGATAGCATCGCTGCGCGACGAATTGAGCACGGTGACCAACGCGAACGTCGCGTTTCGACCATCCAACAGATCCTCGAACTGATCGACGTACTTGTCCTGGTCAAACGTGACGAACTTGTCGCGCAGCTGCGTCACCATCTCGTCCGATTCTTCGAATTCGTCAAAGAGACTGGCGAAAGCCGCGGTGCCGCCTATCTCGAACGAGGAGGAAACTAAATCCTTGGTCGTTTCGATCTTAAGGACCGATTCGTCGATCAGCTGACCGGCCAACGAGTCCACGTAAACCTGCGTGAGGAACAAGCCAAAGATGCTCCAGGAAATAAAGTGGATTTTCCTCGATAGTCTGGTTGGTTGTCGCGCGACGGACACGCCTATTATCAGAGCGAATATGTCCAAGCAGGAAACGTCTCGAAGGATAAAAAATTTCAAGGTTGCACCGAGAAGCAACGATCCGGCTATAGCGGCCCAGACGTACGGTTCGAACGGTAAAATTAATCCTTCCAAGGAGACTTTCGGCACTTTCGGCACCACCCATACCACTTTCAGCATATCGTACGTCGTCGAGTATCTTATGTCTTTGTGCGACTGTTGGAGAATTCGACCGATCACCAAGTCGGCCATCGTTTCGTCGTAAAGCAACATCCGCACCTGCTCCGAGTAACTGGTGTTGTCGCTCCATTCGACCCTCTGCCACTCGACCCGCAGCTCTTTCGTAACCTCTTCCGTTAAATTTCCCTCGAAGCCGGTCAGACTCGCGGAACCGTTCACCGTCGTTACGTACGGCGGCTGCTCCAAGTACGCCACTTTAACGATGCAACCGTTCAGAGCCGGTGAATCGATTTCTTTCCAATTCCTCCATGTCCTCCGAGCATCGCATTTGTTCAAGACGATAGGCGGCAAAGGACTGCACGGTTTGTACGGCTCGAAAGCGACGCTACCGGCGACCAGTACAGAATCCCCGACTCTGCCCACCACGATCACCGTCCAAACTCTTCGCGTCCACATCGATTTCGTCACGTTGTACGCTTCGTCGAGAAAACTGGTTTCGTCGCGGAACTCGGTCGTCGATATCGCGACGAACAGACATCCTTGATCGCAGGGATAGAGCATGGGATAGAGGAGACTGTCCTCCCGCTCGACGTTCCCGCTCGACGTTAAGATGATCGAGCTCGACGATCTGTCTCGCGGTATCGGAAAATCCATGCCCGTCGTGAACGTGAAAAACCCGAAACGACCTTTCAGGCTCGCGACCAGCGGCTGCCCGATCATTTCGTTCACCTCGGTCCGCACGTCCAATATCACGAACACGGACCAAACCGATTCGTTTATGTACTTGTTCAATAAACTCTCGATGCACGGTATCGAGTTTGAAAACCGTTCGCTCTCCTCTCGATAACTTGCGAGCCTTTCCACGATCAGTCTGCGATCGCCTACCTCTGTTTCCCCTTGGTACACCTCGACCAAGTCTCCAGACATAATAACAAAGGACACGGAACGCGACACCGCGACCAAAAACGCCAATCGAATCAACACCGACATGCCCGCGAACCTTAAGCGAACACGGACTTCCAACTGTTGTGTTCCGTAAAGCCAAAACCGTGACGCGCACAAACTGTTTCGTGCCGTGCCGTGCCTAGCCTATTCTATTCTATTCTATTCTTCGATTGGACAAGCAAGATAATCAAGGACTCGATGCCCTCTGCTAGATCGCCTATCGCTAAAATGACCGTGTACTTACTCGTTACATGCTCTCGATACACCCACCGTACACCGATAACGAATTTCTATCATCCTGTACCGTGAAATTTCCTTCTATCCGGGAATTTATCTCCGATCAGTTAACTGCCAATATCCCCAGCCGTAACCTGCTACATATTCCGCGAACCACCGACCAACACCGTTATTTCGTCGCGATCAAAATTACATTTCTCGCGTTTGCGGTCCAAAGTATCGCATGTCATCACGTTCACGCTACAACGGCCCCTATGCAAATACGCGCGCGTGCACGCGCCCAATATTACAACCACCCCGTTAATCTATCTATCTATCTATCTATCTATGTACCGTCGTTTACGACACTCGGCCAAAGGTCGCGTTATCGGTCGGTTAACCCCTTCCCGTGGTAAACGGTAGGAGCCAACGCGCGATAAACAGACCATCGTGATGCTGACACTGTTTCGTAACAGAGATTATAAGAATCGTGACCGACTCTTGTGGCGTACCGATACGAAGTTAAAACTCGATCACGATCGTCATTTGCTGTCCGCGAGCCTGTCTCGTGATGTTTACGTTTCGGCCGACTTTCTCTTCGCGATACATATGTGGGATTCTTGCCCTTGCAGATTGGAATATACGAGGGAATCCCCTGACGATGAAATAAAACAGCGGGAACAGATGTTTAAAAGATAGTTTATTGACTAATACTTCCAAGTGATCGACTTTGGCGCAGGGCGACGACTGACTCCTCAATCGGGTCCCCGTCTTAAAAACTACCGCCTGTTTACGTTATCACCGCGTCGCGCGGTCTCACTCACGCGCCACGCCTCTCACTCACCACACATATTCTGCTTTGGGCCAAAATCTTCATCACGAGTCAGACTCGTTAAAGTACTCGCCGATCGCCGTGCATCGTTCAAACGAACCGGCTAAAAAGCTCTACTCGATCATACACCTAAATTAACTTTCAGTCTATGAGTCTGGATATTTTGGACACTGCGAGCAAGCGCGATATTGACACAAGAAAATAAAATGAAAAATACATATGAAAAATAATCGCGCCAACAGACACACGACTGTCTCTCGAATATTCTTTCTTCGAAATCTTCCGTACGGACATTTTACAGGGATATCTAGACAGCTAGGAAATACGTATGTATGAAAAAAAGAAACGTTACCCGTCTACGTAACGATGATGCGATAGAAAAGTTCAAGGTCTGCATAAAATTACACTTCATACATGGATAAATACATGTTAATATCTGGTGCAAGATGCAAAGCATAATATGTGTTTTTTCGTATCGCGTATGATCGGGGTGACCTTTTCTTACTCTTTAAAAATCACTTTAAACTATAATTTCTTACGCTGCATGAAAACTACTCGACTTATGTCCGAAACATCTGCCCATCGTTGAAAGTATGGAAAACCATTTGGTGTAAATAGAAGCGCGCGGGAGAGAGAGAGAGAGAGAGAGAGAGAGAGAGAGAGAGAGAGAGAGAGAGAGAAATCGTAATTGTCACGCTATCCAACTTAGACGTCGCTTTTCTCGTTTCTCTTTCAGAGCTTTTGCGAGGATTCTGTGCGCCTGCTGTCCCAGACGGATGAAACGGCGATATCAACCGGCATTTAGATGTAAACCGAGTCAAGTAAGTATCAGCTATTGATAGTTTTCCGTGTCAAGTGTCGCGTGTACATAGAATATCCGCGAAACCATCAGGTAAAAGAGAACGAACGTTAGAAACGCGTGCAGTTTCGGTTCTACGAGCCCAACGAGGGTTGGTTGGATCGCGTCGCGTCCCAATCATCATTTCTATGCTTTTAATTAGACAACCTGATGTAAAATGGTACGATTCGATAGTTTAGGTTTAACGTTTCGACAAAGCAACAGGCGAATACGAATGTCGAAGCACTCGGATGCGATGCGATGCGATGCGATGCGACGCGACGCGACGCGACGCGACGCGACGCGACGCAACGCGTCGTAAAGCGAACCGCGAAATTGATTAAAATGGTGAGAAAGTCTGGACGCAAGGTGGTACTTTCCTAGCCAAGTATAAAGCGGTCAAGGAAACGCGCTAAAACTCGTGTCAAGTAACGAGAATGCGTATAAAGTAAGCTTGAAATCTAGCCAACGGCAACGGAAGGAAATTTATTACTTCGATTGCTAAAGTTTTCAAATTGCCCGTTCGTTTCTACAAGGAGATTCCTGATCTTGGCGGATAACGCTACTCTGTTTAGCTTCGAGTAACTTGGAACGTTATCTATCTACCATACGTTTCAGTTGAGATTACGAGACATTATTTAATTTCTTCTTTATCGTAAGATAAAGTCAACGTCGTTTCGAAACTCGTACGAGCAGTAAAATTTCGATACGAATAGATTATCAATAATACCTTTTAACGCAAAGGTATTTTAACGCGTTGTCTGGCACGTATTCTTCTTCCCAGACCATAGATACAATGTCAACATTTATGTTTATAGGATGAAACGGTGACCGATGAAATAATAAATACATGATCGTATCGGTCTAAAAGTCGAAAAATCGGTCTCTGGTTCGTAAAATTGACCCGTTCCTGCGACGCGCTATACTCGCGTTCCTACAATATACGTTTAAATAACCAAGCCAGACTCTAGCGTAAAGTTAAAAATACTCGTGTCGTTGAATGAATCCGGACTAGGCCGGAGAAGAAAGTCTAGCTGGAATCTATCGCGGCGTGGCGTGGCGTGGCGTGGCGTGGCGCGGCGCGGCGCGGGAGCCATCAAGCAGCAGCCATCGAGCAACAACCTGGAGAATGCATCGTGTAAACCCGGTACATATTGGACAGAGTATCCAGTGTATTACTATTTTTTCAGAGATTCGCATCCGGAAGATACTACTCCGCGTACTCGGTCCAGCACGTAAGAAGCAGCCGAGAGAGTTCGTGCGAGCAAAGCTACATTTAACGATGGGATACCGTCGCGACGTGGATATCGTCAATCATTGGCCACCACCTCGAAACCTTTCTCGTTTCCTCCATATCCTTTTATCCATCGACATCGAAGCATCGATTACCTTGAGACAATGCTATCCCTAGTAATCGTCCGAAGACACTTGGTACAGATTAGCGACCAAGGACTCTGTACCATCCCCGTATAACACTGCCTCGGTATGTTGAATAGTGAATAGATTTATCGATCAATGATACACGCACATGTAACACACACGCGCCGCCCTACGAGCAAAAGCACCTCTGCACGAGCAGCACCGTACGTCGTCGGATCGATGCATACGTTTCATGATATGCCTAACTACTTACCTACCTACCTACCTACCTACCTACCGATACGTTTCATTCAAAGGGCTATCAAACGTGATTAATTCTTACGACTAAATTTTTATCGTATCGTACCGATAAACCTAATCGAGCGTCGCGCCGTGTCGCGCGCCGTGTCGCGCGCCGTGTCGCGCGCCGTGCCGCGCCGCGTAAAAATTGAAAATATCAATCTTTCGATAATAGAAAAATATTGGATTATAATTAATGTAGATAGCCCATTTAATTTATCGTACAATTTACGAGTGTGTATTAGAGTCGTCAGCAGTCGACGCGTAACAGTTGGAAATCAATTACCTAAAACGGTGAAATTTCGCGATCGGTATCGTCCGCTATACTTATTTATCACCGATAAGTAAATTAAATGAACGCGGTGGTGCGCGATGCGATCGATCGAGTCAAATTATTATTTATATTTCTTTTATAAGATTCTATTGTCAAAATTGAATTAATTCTCCAACGATATAGTTTAACAATGTCTCGTGACCATGACAACATATTTTACGCTTTCATGTAGGTACACCTCGCGCTTGTAAACCGTTTAAATCGAGAAATCGACCGCATCATCCATTTTCTAGTCTTCCAGCATCGTTCTACTACGTGTTAATTACCCTCTACACCGAACCTACTTTTATAGTCACTCGAGAACGTGCCGTTGACCGGTTTCTACACACTTAATCTTTCCTGATCATCGTTCTTTTCTTTCTTTCTTTCACCCTGACTGGCTATCAATTACATAATAGTATTTTGCTTTTTAATAAGATATAGGGGAGAATCTCTCGATACGATAAAAAATCCGGCTTCTCGTAGCGCTGTTTCATCGGTTTCGCCTCGAGGGGACGGGTACCGCGCGACAAGGCAAAAGTTTCCTCGTTTATCCTATCGAGCACCAAATTCCCCGGAGACACACGACCGGATCAAATTTACTCTTTCTTCCCAACTTCTCTGCTCCGATGTAGCTCGATTTATAGCTCGACGCTCGTCCTGTCGCTAATCCTCCGACCTCCGGATTAACAAAACAATATACGTATACGGGTTAAATTGCAGGGAATCTGACCTTCTCCGATAGTCCAACGATCCCCGATCAGACAGTTTTCGTTGTTCCTGTATTGCCAAGGAAACTCTCCCTCCCAGCCCTTTTTTGCCTTTGCTTAAACAAAAGGCATGCTTTCGAAAGCAAGTCGCAGCGAACCGAAACTCTAATCTCACATGGAGATGGTGTTAAATTGTATTGTACGAGACTGCGCGAACAAAAGATCCTTGAGATTCGAGTGACTCGCAATGTTCGATCAAATTACGCCACGTAAAACTACAAACTCCTTGAATCTCGATTTCCTCGATGCATTCGTGAACCTTCCTCGCCTTCGTTAACTGGGTTGCGGAGGCGCTGAAATTTCCTAATTAACGGTCGGATCGATGACGCTCCAACGCGACACGACACCCTTTAATTTCGATGGAATTTTCGGAAAACTAAGGAAAGTTTGGCAATGTAAAGGAATTTAATTAAAGTTGAACGGTCTCGATAAATACCGTGATGCTGCTGGCAAATTTATCCAGCCGCAAACTACCTGCTAAAAATACGTCGCGAACAACGGAACAAACATAACTGACACGAACAAGCTTATTTTTTTATTTTATCGCCCGTCTACGGTATGTACGTGTCTATGTACAATGTACATATGTATCTAGTCGGGACTCGCCTAAATCGGTTAGGCGCGTACAATTTCATTTAGGAATTTTCAACACAGAGTACATATTTTCAGTTTTACTCGGCCGATTGAGAAAGAAGTGGAATTTGATCGCTTTCAAACTTAGTCGTTTTCTTCTCCTCGATGTCTATGTATAGATACAATTGCACCAAGTACAGAACAACCGGGGCACTATCGTTTCTTGGAAAATCTGTATAATTGTTCTGATTACAGTACGTTTCGGGAGTAAATACCGGCGGGCAGGCCAGCAGCGTCAGCTACAGCAGCGTCAGCCAAAGCAGCGACGGTGGCGTTGCTGCTGGACTGACCAGTGGTGGAATGTGACGTCACACGGGGGCCCGTACCGGGCCCCGTCGAGAACGGGCGATTCGTTTTCGGGACACGTGATTGTAAGCTTGCTGCCCAAGACAAATCACTCAAGGGAAACTAGTACAAGTACAAGTTTGTCGGTTCGAACGACCACCGATCGCCGACCACCGATTGCCGATCATTGTGATCCAGCGATACACGCGACATAAAAATTCAACGTTCGTATTCTATCGTGTTTACGCGACGAAAAGTGGACCACGAAAGAGAGACCGATGCCGCGATCCGGGACGTTATTACCATCGCATCGCTCCTCCTTCCACGAGTACAGAGTATATTAAAATCTTACAAGAGAATAAAACTAATTTGTTAACATCGATTCTCTAAACATCGTTAAAATTAATCTCGGAAACAAACGCTCGTATAGAAAAGATTCTTATCCGGTTTCCAAACAGAATATTTCGAAAAACTATTTTTCGTATCGCGTCGCTTATACGATCTACCAGAACTGTGCATATGTATATGTATAACAAATTATCGCATTGGGAAGCGAGTGAAAGCGATAGGTCCCGTCTACATCGGCGTACGAGAACGTTTCCCAAAATTTCCCTCGAGGCTGACCACGCTCCAGGTATTCTTATCAACTGGCCGAGGAAATGACTAGGAACGAAATCGATTGCAGAAACGTTCCTCGCTTATCAACACCACCACCACCACCACCACCACGTTAACATATACCAAGGCTAATGTAACTTGACCGGCGAATACTGCAGAGGGGGGCCCTTTCAGCCACCCACCCACCCACCCATCACCGATCTTAGCTGCGTGAAACAAAAGAAAAGAACCAACGTAACGCTCCAATTTCATATTCTAACCAATGTCTCGAGAATGAATTTCCGCATTTTCAAACATCGTTCGCGATCCGATAGACTCACTGTTACCTAATCTCGAAACAATTTCACTCGATTATCGTAATGGACAATCTCTATTCGAAGAATGAACGTATGCACGCCGCCTACCTTCGAGCAAAGCTAATATTTTTCCAAAACGATTATTTATTTAACGAAAATCAATCGCCCTAATATACGTATAGGCTCCCATCAGTGTACATACATTAACTATTTAAGTGTAATTGTAAATATTAGAAAAGTGTAAAATTAATTAAACGAAACATACGCAAGTATACATATGTATGTATAGGAAGCACGTATGTATTTAAGGCGAATATAGTATATGTATGTATACGTATACACAAGTACCAACGTATGCATACGTTCCTTCGAGTAACAATGAATTCAGTATTATTCCACGTAAACTCCATTCTATCGTGTTAAAAGTTTCGATAAATAATAAAAAAAACATCCAATCTACGTTTACAAATATCTCTTTGTTCTTTGTTTCTTCGATTCTCGAGGAAAACGATACTAAACGATATTTTCGAATCATCTCGAGTAGCCATTAAAATTAAATGGACTTGTCGTTAGTCGGCATTTCCAATCGACGAGCACAATATTTTCGAGATAAGTAAATTCATTTTTTTGTCCAATAATTGACGATCGAACGAAATCATCCTCGTGCCACTTCTTTCTCTTTATTTACCGTGAACGTCACCGAGATTCGGCCACGATTGCACAATAGTCGAGCAGCAACTGATCTTATCGTTTTCCGATTCCCAGCCACCGAACGCGCAGATCAGCCGAGCTCGCTTGGCTCTTTAACGCGTATCTTCTTCCTTTACCATTAATATCAATTTAACCGGAATAAATTATACGAATATCAATTCCTGCTGAAACAAATTTCCCCTTTCTCGAATAACCGAAACGATAACGATCTGACCATTTTTTTTCTTTTTCTCCCTCTCCCTCTTTTTTTCAAGAAAAACACGCTTTTTAGATAACGTGCGGCGTTATCTTCGTCTCGCAAACTCGATACATATTATTGTTCCGTTTAAGCTCCATGAAACAAAGGTATCTAATCGACGCGTATATCTTTATTGGAAAACATTGTTCATAGAGTGTATTGCTGCGTGTATACGATACACTCCTTGTAATCGGAAAACTCGACACTCGATACGTTTAATAGTATGTACACTTAAAACTCGTCGTACGTACCTATATGTATATGTATCGGTGAAATAGTAAAATAGTTACAGCGTGTCCAATTCATATTATACATATATGTATGTATATGTACATACATTGTATACATTCAAGATTGAAACGATTTCCCTGGCCTGTACATACAATATAAATAATGTGGAGAAGAAAAATACAGGTACCGTGTAATTTGTATTATTAAGGAATGGATAGCAAGAGAACGTAAAAAGTTTCGTGTGCAAGACCGAGACCGAGACCACTCAAGTACCTTTAAAACATACAATGTCTATCAATATGATGTCCTTTCTAATAAAAGAGAAATGAAACTGCTGTTACTTTATTTCTCATAGATACGACTCACCTGAAATCCCAAACTACTACTATTACTACTACCGTAACGAACAAGTCGATTTTTAATAAAAAAAAAATTAAAGGATCGCAACGAATTAGACGCGGAGCAAGGTGAGAGTAACACGGCCAATCTAATACGTAGTATATTAAAACTGCACTTTTACATTTTACCCATCAGGAAAATAGTTGGAAATAAATTAGATTCCATAAACGATGTTATATGTATTCCCGTTAAAATTTATATTTATGTGTATTTTATAAAATAAATATTTTTATCCATTTTCCTCGCATCTATTAACCTCTGTTACAATTATAATATTTACATTTTGTATAACATGTGTACCGTCATCGAAACGATCATTTTCTATGATCTCATTCTCTTTTCTTTGGTGCGTGTCTGTTACATTTTTCTATGTATAATACAGAATCGGCGAGAAATGCATTAACATAAAAATTGTTCCTAGAAATGTTATGTACAAACGAATATCTACCACCTAATGTAACTTTTGTACTCTTCGTTTATACTGAATCTTTTAATGGTTTCGTACCCTAAAATAATCGAAAAACTAAAACAAGCGGATTGTACAAGTCGCGCGGACAGTCCTTTTGTAAATATCTGCAACCTTTCTTCCACCCAAAGAACTTTAAACGTACTAAACATATTATCTAATCTTTGCACCTGTAATCTTGCCCGTACAATATCTAGAGGATTCGTAACGATCGTAGTAGTAAATCCTCCTAATGTTCCAGCCACAGCTTGAATAAACAAGTGAGAAAACCATTCCGGAAATAGTTGGATAAGCTGTTCTGTAATGCGAAAAAAGATTATTATCCAACATCCGTTTACTTTTTTACCATTTTATTTTCAATTACCTTGGTAAGATATATAGAGTCCCCACCAAAGTGCACTATTAGGAACGTACGCACACAACGATGCAACATACCCCCGATAGAAGCCTCTATAACCGTCTCTCTGATAAATTAATTTTATAATATTTGCCGATATCTGAGCATGAGTTTTCCCAGGTTCGAGAGTTAGACCCAATGGATTTATTTCCATCTGTAAGTCAGGTATTAATAAACGAACCTATAAGAACCGACCGCTTTCGTTTAGTTTGCTTACTTTGTTTATAGAATTCTTGCCATATTTTCTACTACCGATCCCAAGAACCATCAAGTGCTGACTTAGAATATCGAAAGGAACTACTATCGTTTGACCTACTAGACTAGCAGCACCACCGGCGATTAATGCTTTAACCCGCGAATCTATACCGCCTAGAACACGATCTTGTCCAAGTATATGACGAACACCTTCGTACGTAGATATGTAAAACGCACTGGATACAATTTGTACAGAACTTATCCAGAATCCTCTATAAAGACCCGCCAAGCCTTCGACTTTGTATATCTTTTTGTAAGCATCTATCATTCCTGCGCCAAACAACCGACGATAAATCAAATAGTACCATCTGCATTTACACAAGCTACGTACAAACTTACCATTGTAAATACAATTGTGCCTTTGAACTTGCAAACGTGTTTTGATCACCGTCAATGGATATAAACAACAACGCACTGAAAACGACGAGAGCATACTCAATGGGAAAAACTTTGTTTTGTCCATCATATCCCACTCGATAGTGCGAATAAAATGGGGCGTCTCTACCGCACTCATTTTTTCGATTTATGTCACTAGCAGACACCACGCTGTCACTGTACTCGTACGTTAAGATTTTTGGGAGCCTTTGTTCAACTTGATGCTGCATATCTCATCAATATTTTTTCGGAATTATAAGATATTTCAGTAGTCGTGTTTCTCCTACGATGTGGAAGATATGGTAAAACGTACGTGGTAAATTTGCCGCGTAAAGATGCATAGATTAATACATACATCTATCACTTGTAATAATAATAGAACGAATACATTTTTCATGCATGAATTCCGTTTGTACATACATATACGTATACAGAGACCACATGTCGTTACCAAACAATACATATGATGTATATTCGAGGTGAGAAAATAGATGCCGACTTGGATATTTTAATCGTTTTTTACGAAAATATAAATATTATTTGATAAACAGATTCGGGAGAGTAGAAAAACGTAATGTTCTTCTACAGAGATATTTATATTTATATGTATATGTATATGTATATGTTGGGAATTTGACAGTGACTTTGTAAAGTAAAGTTTGTCACTGTCAACGAAAATGTGCGTAATATTCACCCATCGACAAACATCCGAAAACTGTTGAAAAGCATCGATGAGACTTACGGTGATGTAATACACTGTTCACAATGAATAAATCCTTTCCAGCGCGTGTAATGCCGATCGATATCCACGTTATAATAAATTAAAAATAATTTGTTTCGTATGCCATAAACTTCCAACGATAAAATTCGTTTTCATATTAAGAGACACTATACAGCTTTCGTTTCATTCGACGACAATTTAAAATCGTATCAGTTTTATTTTACGAGTAAAATTTCTTAAGCTGGCAGAAGCCACGGAAAATGTGATCTAATTATTTTACGATACTCGTACCTACACGCATGCTTCGTCAAGATACTTTCTTGATAATTAACCTTGACACGCCATCTAGCGCCGAAGACAACCAACTATTTCTGTCGACAAACTTTTACCACAGACGAGGTATATGTATGATATGATGAATAGACCTTTCACCTAATGGAATTTTTCGGCCCGAGTTTATGGCCTCCCGGAACCCCATTACCATGTTCGTGTCACTCGCAACGTTATCAACAGATTTAGATATTAACACAATAGGAAGTGGGACAGAAAATAAAATTACATAAATTTTATTATTTTTTAACGGAATTAAATCTGTACGGTCCAGAATTGAGCATCGATCGATTAATTTCATTGGAATAACCAATCGATCGAGATTATTTAAAGATTTCAAAATTATTAAAATACGTAACGATCTCATTGATAAATATACCGGAAATCCTCTATTTTTTATTTTCAATTCTAATATATTATTTATTTAAAAACTAACTCGGCAACAAACGTATTTGCGACTCGAAATCAGTGTTATCAGACCGCACACCAGGACGAACAACCTATGTATGTGGAACTATAAGAAGAACGCAGCCATTAGCTCATATTATTTCCTATGTAATTAATAATTCTATTAATTGCATAGTAAATAATATGACCCGGGTCTCACCACGAGGAGGTTGCTGCGAATGGAGACCCACCCTAGCCTCGCCCCAACCACCCTTCCTTTGGCGAGGAATTCCAATACCTATCGAATACCTATCGAATACCTATCGAATACCTATCGAATACCTATCGAATACCAAGGGAGAAGCGCTATCGAAGAGTTAGAAACGAGCTACAAAGGTCGAGTTCTTAAAAGAACTGACCAATGAAGAGACGAAGAACCTAACAAAATGTCAATACATGTGAGATAATCCAGCACATGTTTTCTAGAAACGAAATTGGGATGTGCAACTGCTGCACGCACGAACTCTGACCGATCAAGAGATGAAAAACCTAACAAAATGTTGATACATATGAGATAATCCATCATATGTTTTTTAGAAACAACAATGGAATGTGCAACTGCACGTAAGTACTTACGGATCCTGATTATTAAACTACCAATATGTACTTTATTATTAATCGTTACCACTTAAATTTACGCACACGTTTCACTAGTACTTAATAAAACGCTGGAGAACGCTTTTTTATCTTATAATCTATACATATATGTACATTTTTACTTATATTCTAACGCAATTTGAAGTATGCAAGAATATACGAGGAAATATTTTCTTCTTAGTGTCCTCATCAATCCCACGATGTTTTTCTAAAACATACACTCATTATACAATAAATATAACCGATATAAAACGAAGATATTGATGAGATATTTTCTTCTTGGTGTCTTGGTTAATCCCACGATGTTTCCCTGTAACATAAACCCAGACAATAAATGGAATTGTATGAAATATTACTGTAAGAGGGATCAAGATGGAATCCGTGTACCATTTCCAATTCGATTCTTCAATGATTCTAGATTCTGTAACAAGAACTTGTTCAAAGGATTAATAGCTGAAATGAAAGTGTATTAATGAACACAGAAAAAAAATAATTATACATATAAATTCGTCTCAGTGTTAAGACAAGTAGATTTTATTTCTCGTTTCGTTTATCAAATAAAAAAATTTTCAAGACGTATACATTGCAATAATTATATTTTACTGTACTGAAAACTAAATTAGGTTCGTACAGAAAAAGCAATAACGAACTAAAATTACGATTCTACGCGGAAATGAACTCTCAATATGAAATATCGAATTGCAATTTGCATACCCTTTTGATGCAAGCATTCTATTTTCCATCAATTAAAACAATTATCGCGAACAAACTTTGATTTATGCAAAAAATACAGAATATTTATAAAAAATTCGCTATTTATAAATAACCATTGGATCGCAACGGTTATTATATCCCGTAAAAATCACCAACTCTAAGAATGAATAATTAGTGATATATGTAGATATCTACATATATGTATAGCAATTATAAATTCAATCTACAATAAAATTAATCATAACATAGAATTTTTAAATGCATCAGAAATCTGTGACGAAGATACATTCACTTACATTACAGACTTTAACACGTTATGAAGAATAAAACAATTGGTCTATTTACAACAGTTCTTTAAAGCAGTATTTCCTTTGGCAAACATATCAAGAAAAGATATACATATTTCAAATAAACGTCCACTCGTGTTAAATTCAAACAACCCGTGAGTGGACCATTCTTTCTTTCGCAACGCTAATTTATAAAATAAAAAACAATACGCGAATGGTGCTCGTTATACGTAAAATGGACCACACAGGGTTCCTTTATTAATTAAATCGCGTGCACCCATATTCAATCATGCGCAACACTAATTTTAATAACGACGTTGAGCCATTCGAGGCTTTGCAGAATCCCAGCTTGCTTCTCGATGAGTGCAGTGGTGCAGTGAGCAGCGTTTTCACCAGCATTTGGGCATTGAATCGCAACTCTAATTAATCAAAAACGCGACAAGTAAAGATCGCTACGCTAATTTATAATAGAAAAATTCGAAACGCGATTTCTAACGATAAAAGCAACCGCGAATGGTGATTGTTCGCAACACTACCCTGAAAAGTAAACGCGAAAAATAGTAATTCGCAACGCTAAGAGCAATCCGATCGGTTAATTCGCAATGCTATTCTTCTTAAATGACGATAAAAGCAATCGCGTATGGAATTCGCAACGCTACCCTGAAAAAGAAACGCGAAAAATAGGAATTCGCAACACTACGAGCAAACGCGATTATTGTATATTCGCGACTCTATCTTTAATGGATATATATTTATGTTTCGCAACGCTAATGCAAATCGCGTTGCCCAAAAATGCTGGATCAAGTGCTGGGCGTCTTCGGTTGTAGCTACGAACATACATGCACTATATAATAAACTAACTACATCGAGCTACTTCGAACTACAATAGAGTGGCGCATATGAGGATGAAGTTAGACGTTTTAAATATCGCAACACTACGGGCCAACAACGCGATAAATCAACAATCGCAACGCTAATTTATAATAGAACAAATTCGAAACGCGACTCGTAAGAATAAAAGCAACCGCGAATGGTAATTATTCGCAACGCTACCCTGAAAAGCAAACGCGAAAAATAGTAATTCGCAACTCTACGAGCAATCGCGTTTACTAAAAATTCGCAACGCTATTTTTAAAGCAAACAACCGATCCCTAGGTTTGCATAAAAACAATCGCGAATCGTATTTAGTCGCAACACTGACACATCAACGCGATAAATATTTGTTCGCGACTCTACGAGCAAACGCGAACATTGTATATTATTCGCAACTCTAACTTTAATCAGGGGCTATTGGTACATGTATGTACATACACATGTACTGGCCACAAAAAAAACTAACTACTACTAGTACTACGATTGGGGTAGAATTTGGGCATTGAAAATATCGCAACGCTAAATAAAAAATCGCACGATTGATCAAGATCGCAACGCTAATTTATAAAATGAAAATTACAAACGCGGTTGACATCCATTATTATGTGTATAAAAGAGTAAAAAAGCAACGCGAATCGTGATTGTTCGCGACACTACCCTGAAAAGCAAACGCGAAAAATAGTATTTCGCAACTCTACGAGCAATCGCGTTTATCGATAATTCGCAACGCTATTTTTAAGCAAACATTCGGTACCTAAGTTTGCAAAAAAACCAATCGCGTATCGTGTTTAGTCGCAACGCTACCCTGAAAAAAGGAAACGCGAAAAACAGTGATTCGCAACTCTAAAAGCAAACGCGATTATTGCATATTCGCAACTCTATGTACATCATAACCGCGAGTTATGGGGAGGGATGGCTGGCATGTATGGTGCAATCATGTACCATCAGGTGGTACATGCATACGTGAGCCAACCAGAAAAATAAACTAACTACAACTACGGACGAGTTAAGTGACAAAGTAGTAAGAGGAATGACTTTCCATTCTCATCCGAGGATGAAGATGAAAAGCCATTCGTTGCAGCCCGCTCTTGAAACAGTTTGTCAGGGCCTCTTCGGCTCATCGAGAGCCTTTTCTTTCTTCGGCGGTCCTGCCGATGCCTGAAACTTACGAAAGACCGGGCTCGAGATTTCGTGCGATACGTAGTCTTCCAACAATATACGAATCGTTGAAAGAGCAAACGTGGTCATCTCGAGCGGGACGAACGTTTCGAAAGGGACCTGATCGCGACCGCGAGCACGAGAGAGCGACTTTAAGAGTCGCGCGATTCGACGAGTCGAAAATAAAGCCGAAACAAACAGCACAAGTGCACCGTTTGAATCAGCAACATTTCTACTCTCGAGATCGTAACTACAGGAACAGAACTGCCACGCGAAAACGCGCCTACCCGATCTACATATAACTAATGTGGACAGTCCTGCCCTGACCCTACCTACTTACGTTTAAACACACACACCAGAGAATAAGTTACCTACCTACCTAACCCTATATTTAAAAAATTGCAAAACTCAGTCTCTCAAACAAACACTCCACGGTTCTCATTCTGAATGTCCGGGCGCGACCTAAACTAGAGAGGACTCCCCGGGGTTCCTCCGACACCCGGACACAACACTTCATTCATACTCTAAATGTACGTACCATTTCTGGAATCGACTGACAAAGCTAGTGCCCATTGCGTACTTTTATTATTTATGTAAAACATTTTAATATATCTGATATAGTCTTTATTAAAATATACTCTATACATACATACATATATGATCATATAAGATCGAAAAGCTAATTCATTATGCATTTTACAATATTATCGACGCGTATGCAATACGAACAATTGCCAAGTAAATAATAACTATAAGTTTAATATCATTATTGTGATTGTTATGAATCTAATGTAAAAAAATTCTGTATCTGAATTGTAATAAACTTTTGAAACGATGCACTTCCACATCCTAACCACAAACACACATATGTGG